GCTATGACCGTAGTGTTTATTTATAACCCTCACTAAAGGTTTTTATAAGAAAAGATGTAAAATCTGCTAGCATCTCTTATATAAAAATGTCCACTATGTTAATGCTCCACCATGTCATTAAATTAATCTTTGCTTCCTCTGTAACTCTGATAACATTGTTATGTTCCATTGTTATAATCAAATGAGCTAATATTCTGTTACTGTAATAAAGTGATGTAAGAAATGATTTAAGAGTGTTGTAAGCTTTATTCTCTCATTTATGATCCTGATGGAAAAATATGGATTTTTGAGTTCTCCCTTGGGGTGTGCTCGACGGAACTATGTTGTTTAGTGTCCTTTCTTGAGTACTTATTGTCTAATGGAAGACAAGTACTCCTAGGAGGCATTAGATTAGGCGGTTCTGCCATAGTTTTGACTCAAGAAGATGAAGGTAAAAAAATATGTGATTGCTTATCTTGGTCGCCGTCTTCTTGATCCTGAGACAAGTGCATGTGTTGTTGCTTGCCAGGCTGATGTGATAAAGCACATGTTATATCGGCCAATTCTTCGTGGAAGGATAGGCAAATGGGCATACACACTAATAGAATATGACTTGACTTTTGAACCATTGAAAACACTGAAGGGTCAAGTTCTTGCTGATTTTATTATTGAGCATGGTATTGATTTAGATGATAAAATCAATTACCTTAATTTTACTCCATGGAAATTATACTTTGATGGATCGGTTTGTAAAGATGGCAAAGGTGTTGGTATTATTCTTGTTTCTCCTAATGGTGTAGAAATTGGGATGTCAAGCCGATTAGATTTCTCTTGTACCAACAATCAAACTGAATATGAAGCTTTATTATTTGGGTGGATCATGTTGCGGTCCATGGAAGTAAAACAAGTTGAAGCCTATGGTGATTCCTTGCTAGTGGTACAGCAAGTTGCTGGTGAATTTCAATGTTTAGAAGGATCACTAAGAGCTTGTCTTGGTGCTTGCCTTGATGTTATTGACTATTTTGCCAAATTTTGAATTTGGCATATTCCAAGGCATGAAAATCAAAAGGCCAACTTGTTAGCTCAACAAGCATCTGGCTATGATGTCAGTGGACGTAATTTCCATATTCAAGAACATCCGATGCATGAAAATTTCAAATTTTCCCGTGCAGGTGCAGACCAGTCGGCTAAGGCGACTGTCCTAGTCGGCTCAGCCAACCCCTTCTCTGCTAAAGCCCAGTCGGCTAAGCCGACTACCCTAGTCGACCATGCTAATACCTCCAAGTTGGCTATGCTGATTGCCCTAGTCGTTTCAGTCGACTCTCCTATGACCAGTCCGATCAATTCGCCCGAGAAGCTACCAAATTGGCCTGATGTAACTTCCAGTGATGTTAGGGCCGATTTAGAAGATTGGAGGACTCCCTTGTTGAGATATCTACATGATCCAAGTGCTAAGGTTGATAAAAGTGTTTGATGAAGTGCTTTCAAGTATGTGTTGCATAACGATGAACTCTATCGGAGAACCGCCGAAGACTTGCTGCTTAAGTGCTTGGGATCAGATTAGGCAAGAGTGGCTATGGGAGAAGTCCATGAAGGCATTTGTGGTACGCATCAATTGGCCCCGAAGATGAAGTGGTTATGGCGTAGAGCTGGGTTTTTATTGGCCTACTATGATGGCCGATTGCTTTCGTTACTATAGAGGATGTGAAGAGTGCCAGAAGTTTGAAAATATCTAGCTTGTGCCTGCTACTAAGCTTCATCCTATCATCAAACCATAGCCTTTTCGTGGTTGGGGGCTAGACTTCATTGGCCAAACACATCCCTCATCTTCAAAGGGACACTGATTTGTGTTGGTTGCTACGAATTACTTTACTAAGTGGACCGAAGCAGTTCCTTTGAAGAATATGACTCACAAGGAGGTAATTGAGTTCATTACTGAGCATATTATTCATAGATTCGGCATCCCTCAAATGTTAACTATAGATCAAGGGACCTCGTTTGTGTCCAAAGAGGTGAGAGAATTTGCCGAATTATATAAGATCAAGTTGCTTAATTCATCTTCATACTATGCTCAAACCAATGGCCAAGCTGAGTCTAGTAATAAGACTTTGATCAAGCTCATCAAAAAGAAGATTGAGGAGAATCCAAGGAGGTGTTATGAAGTTTTGTCTGAGGCTCTATGGGCACATCGCATTTCAAGGCATGTTGCTACAAAGGTTACTCCTTTGAGTTAGTATATGGTCAAGAGGTCATGCTGCCTATCGAGGTGAATTTGGATGCATATAGGCTTGCTAAACAAAATGATCTATTAGCTATTGTGTATCATGATTTGCTGATGGATAACATCGATGAGGTGACTGATATGAGATTAAAAGCTCTCAAGAAAATAGAGAAAGATAAAGCTCGAGTTGGCAAAGCATACAACAAGAAAGTCAAGAGCAAATCCTTCCATGTGGAAGAATTAGTATGGAAAATCATACTACCAATTGGATCAAAGAGCAATCAGTTTAGCAAGTGGTCACTAAATTGGGAGGGTCCTTACAAAGTGATCAAAGTCATATTCGGTGATTCTTATTTGCTAGAGACATTATAAGGTGAACGTCTCACAAGAGCAATCAATTGGAGGTATTTGAAAAGGTACTTTCCAAGTATTTGGCAAGAAGCCTAAGTGCTCTCCGAACAATGACCGATACATGTATCGTCCTTAGAACAAAAATGGCCGATGCATACATCGCCCTCAGTCACTGAGCAGCCGATGAGATGTGTATCGTCGCTGCTTGGCTTTGTTTTGTTTAGTGCTTTTAGGTTTATGCATCATTCACCTAAAAACAGAGGGCATATGTTGACAACCAAAATTGTTCATTTTGTGAAGTTGTCAAAATGTGGAACGGACTTCACCATTGTGTTCCTCTCATCGAGACGGTCAAAAAACATATATGGAACGTCTAATTCGGAGTGTGAATGAAGGAGTTGTTCCCTCAAGAAAATCTCACCCTACCAGAACTTCTAACCCCCCGTCAGAACCTCTGATTTTCGCTTGGAGGTTCTGAGTCTGTGCGAAAATCAGAACTTCTGACCCCGTCAGAACTTCTGATGTTCGCCTGGAGGTGCTGGCTTTGCGCGAAAATCAGAACTTCTGACCCCCTATTAGAACTTTTGATTTTCGCAGTCCAAATCAGGGAGAGTCCAAACTCGATTCCAAACTCATGGGAAACTTGGAGATTAAGTCTTGGAGAGGTTTCCTATTGGGATAAGACCACCCCTCTATATATATGAGAGGATCATGGCCGATTGAGTTCCTATCTTTCCAATCGTCATACAAACCAATCTATCAACTCCTTTTGCTCTAATTCCCCTCTCTCAACCCCTCTTGCTGTTCGTTGAGTTTTCTACCAAAATTCAGCGGTATTCTAGGTGGCCTTGTCCTAGGAGATCCTCCACGTTCTCCTCCCGACGGGTCTTCCCGGGAGAAGTTCGGAAGCTTTTCCGGCCGAGAACAGGCTCTACATTGGTCTTATCGGTCTCTAGATCGGTTTGATCGATCGATTACACCACGTTCTTGCTGCGTTGTAAGTTGTGTGCAACCTCTTTGGACGTCAAGGCCCTGCTGGTGTGTTGGCTTAGGGTCATCTTCAAGTATGACGGCTTGAATTGGCGGTACTAGTTCTCGAAAAGAAAAAGGCTGATCCGGCTAAGAAGAGATACTGCACTTTATCAAAAATACGTAGGTAGGGTCGATGCTCTTTCTTTAACTCACGATCGTGCCTCGTCTAACTCATATGCCTCCCTGCTTTATGGTTGATCGAATGAATCTTGTCTGGTAGACTTTATATACTTAGTTATTGCCTTGATGTGGGCGAAAGGAAAGCGCGCACAGTAAGCGTCAACAAGGCTCTTACAGTAGCCTGGTCCCGGGGAAATCACTGTACGTTTAGTGTTTAATACAAAGCTTGTACCGTCGGTGGCTAGTTTAACGTGCATACTTGTCTGATATGCTACTTGAAACCCTGCTCTCTGACACTTTACATATATAAAAGAATAGGTTGAGCTAAATGAGGAGCAGTCCAAAGTAGATCCATTTGACTCAGGTGTGTTTCTTTGCCTCATCCACTGGTCTAGTATTAGTGGCTCATGAAACTCAAGGAGGGGCAGGGTTTTTTTCTTATCACCATAGGATTCCTTGTTTATTACAATTCATAGGCTGTGAAGATTTGGTCCTATGCACCACATCTGGCTCTTTGGCCAAAAGATTATGTGAATCAATCACTCATTATGAAAGTACTAGTATATATGTTAGAAATCAGTAGGTTAGTGCGCTCATAATTTTTCAGAGAAAAAAAGTTTTTGCAGAGGAAAGAATGGATGGAATGAATAATGAACGTTGGGTAATAAGTCCCATTGCGCAGTGAAAGAAAGTGCTGCAAAAGGGGATAAATTTCATTACAGTTTCACCTTTGACGAACAAAGTAAATTCCTGCTTTTGATAAGGGTAAAAGGCTAACAGCAGCAGTGAGTGAAAGAGATGAGTCTGTGAGGCCCATACGGTGAACTTTTAGTTTACTCCTCGCTGCACATGGCATGGCACCCTCTTACTACTCCTAAGCTCGTAGGAGCCCAAAACCCCTGCCATACATGTCGTCATGCCATAGGCAAACCGCAATGGACCACAGGCTTAAATATTGCTGTCATGCTCATGCAGGACTTAACAAACTCTGACCATGATGCAAAGACAGCAGTTACCTTCATAACCTAGTGTTGCGAAAGGACATGGGTGGTGGACTCACACTGGTAACAGTTCACCAAAAAGTTTCAGTTTTTCTATGCATTCACTGCTGCAGTTATATTTCTTTGCACTCATCCATCCATCCGTGTCAGTCAGATAAAATAGTGCTGCAGATGCATGCTCCATGGTGTGCCCTACTCTCCTCCTCTTTGTGACAATTCAAAAAATCCATTTGATAGGGGAAACAGAAACACACAGCCCTTTGCTTGCTTTCTCTTTCATTCATGCCTGCCTCATCATGGCTTCCTTCCCCTTTAGCGTTTGCATCATTTGTGCCACTAAAGCTCCTGCCGCCGTGAGGGATTTCTTGATGCCTCCCAGCTCCCAGATGGGCATACAACTCACACTACTCATACTCAGTTCATGTAGCCTTTACAGTATGTATCCTTCTTCCTCTTCTTCTTCCTTCTCGGAATCGTCTTCGCTCGCATTGCTGGTGCTTGTCATCTCCACCTGCCTCTCCTTGCTTTTCACCAACCTCAGAAAGCTACTCAGAGACAACACCCACAAAGCTAAGGCTCCAGCTTCCATGGAAGAAGCTGTGACTGTGTACCAGGAGAAGAGCATTGTGCCACAAGATGAGGTGCCGGAGGATGCACCGGAGGGTTTGATGGGAAACCTATCAGATTCTTCAGAGTGCACGACGAACGACGAGGAAGAGGGCACCGAGGAAGGCTCGATGTCAGATGAAGCTGACGACGACGACGATGAGAGCCTCATTGAGATCTCCCTTGTCGATGGCCACTACGTGGGCGGCGCAGAGCAAGCTGAACAGCGATGCGCATACAACTACAAGAAGGACCTCCTCGCGGAGTTCCTGCCGGATTTGCTGCTGGACAGGAGAGATTTCTTCGACATCTTGTCAGAGATCAGCGAGGAGGACAGCCTGATCGAGATTGACATCGCAAGAGGCTCCATCAAGTGCTCCAACTTGGATATCAAGGCATGAGGTTACACAAGGTTTGGAGAAACTGAAACCTGACGATGCATTTGATCAGGGAAATTAAGGCAGCAGCTTTGTACCTGTCATCATCCATGATCCATGTAATGGTGTAAGGTGTTCTCTTTTTACAAAAGCTTATGTTTTTTTCTTTGTGGTGGATGAAGGAAGTTGTTTCTTTCATTCTTTGTACTCTGTTTCGTAAAATATTACAGCAGAAATAACGTGATTGCACATATTTTGGTTAAACGAAATGTATTTGTGCATGGCATTTTTATTTCGTTCATTCACATGTTCAGTAGATGGTAATCATGTCAGCACTGTTCATTTGTGTGATCTGAGTGTAGTTAGTGAGATAAGTAATTATGTCATGTGAAAAGATTAAAATACCTTTGACGACTGCAGATTGACACGAAACATTCAGTTCACCAAACAAATGTTGTTCTTCTGGTTGGTTTGGTGTAGACTGTAGAGATAGGGTCAACTTTTGTCCGTCCGAATCAAAAGCTCTTTTTTTCTGTATATAGGGTACTGGCATATATGGCTCGAAATCAATTGTTTATTAGCTTGTGCGGCAGAGTCCTTTTTAGAAGTTTGGTTCTTTGAATCCGAAAGAGGTTGAGATCTTTATGATTCGGGCCTCTATCATTAGCTTCAGCACTCAAGTACCAGTGTCCTAAACTAGCTAGTATTACTACTGCTAAATCAATGTTTGGTGGTTAACCAGTGTCCTCCTTCTAATGGTCCCTTCTTCCTTCTGTCTATTTTTCGGCGTTGTCTCTTTCGTCTTATGGAGGAATCAGTGGCTCTTTCTCTACAATTGTGTTTGTGAGGTTGTGCCGAAGGTTTTCACGTCAAATAGACAGAGGTCAGGCTGTATCAACCTTTTTTTAGACACAACCATCCCTTTAAATCCTTATTTATTTCGAAGGTGCTATTAGGCCTTTTAAAAGCCAAAAAGTTCCCGAAAACTAAAAGACAGAAAGAAGCTCACTACTAGAGCTTTTGATTTATGGGAACTGTTTAGCTTTTGAAAAGTCTAAAAGCTAGTAGTCTAAGAGTGGTCAAAAGCTCAAATAAATATGACATAACAGAGCAGCACAAAAAGGATCAATAATAAAAAAAAAGATATTATAGACAGTTCAACACGGTTGTACAAATGCACACTAGTATACTACTAATATTTCACAGGTCCTAGACTTACAAGATAGTACTAGTATAAATCTTAACACACTAGCACTCGTATTCGTATATCGATAATGCATTGTTACACACGAGCAAGTGCTGAGCTGGCCTCCTAGCACACGATAGGCTTGTTGGGGTGCATGCTGAAGATCCCTCCCTTGTACACGCCGCGGTACGTCACCACGGGTCCGTCGACGTCGCCGCCGAGGCCCTCCACCTCCTGCCCGTCCGGTCCTCTGCGGCGTCGCTGCGCTGCCGCCACGCAGCACCCGCACACGACGAGGAGCACCGCCACACCCGCCGCGGCAGGGAGGGCGACCCGCACCAGCGAGCCCAGCGCGGCCAAGAGCGAAGCCGCGTGCTCCCGGAGCGCGGCCACGACCGCCTGGACCGCGGACGCCAGGAAACGGAGGAGCTCGGCGAGCTTCTGCTCGACGACGTCCCACGGGACCGCGTCATCGTCCGCTGACCCGGGGCCGAAACCGAGGCCCACTGCCGCCTCCGCCGCCGCGAGGCCAGGCGCCTCGATGAGCTTTCGCGATGGCCCCGCCGCTGCCATGGCTGGCCTGGCGTGCTCTCTACTTGCTCGACGCGGTGTTTGGTGCTCGCCGATCGAAATCGATTTCCGCGGGTCCGAGGACGTTTGTTTGGGTTGGGTGACGATGTTCTGCTTGTTTCAAGGTCAAGGACCAAGCAGGAGACGACTTTGGCGCCGAATATATTAACGGATTAAATCAAATCATCGTGCGCCGTTGGATCGGATCCGGATGCACAAGGCAGTAGTTGCAAACCATTAGCGACCGAGGTACAGAAATACTGACAGGCTGAGCCAATGAGCTGAGCTGTGGTGCAGTTTTGTTAGTCAACATAGCTATATGTAGTACCAGTGAAATATCTGCACTCATAAAATTGTTAGTTTCCATTATCATATTTAAATGGCAAAAACGTTCCATTACTGAATTTCTCTTTCTTCAAATAAGATGATTTTACGTTTTTTTTAAAATATGTGCGCTCATGAAACGTTTGTTCAAATTTCCACAAATCTTTAATCATGTATGCATACTTTCATTCATATTTAATTCTTGTTAAATGCAAACAAAAAAAAAACTTCGAACTAACTTTGTCATCATCATCCTTGTAATAACACGACAAAGTCATGGTAAGCTTACTCGCTCGCAGTTGACAGACACATTGGTGTTGCTATTAAATCCTAAAATAAATCTAAAACGATGTGAACACGCACATCAATATATCGGAGGACTTAACCCAACACTCACATTGGATAGGAATGTTCTACCACAAAGAATATAACTAGCTAAACTACACAACCAGTTTGCAAAATACTCTAGTTTAGAGAAAAAATATACTTGGCTTAGTTTATCTTTATCTTTTATAAAGCTAATCCCACTACCAATTCTATGTCATCCCACAGCAATCCACATCAGCAATCTTTTCGTATCCCGAGTGACCGAAGACAAAGGGATGGCGCCACTATCATCTACTGGCCATCTATGACACTTCAATTTAATCCCTTCGTATCCCAAAGTCATGGAAGCCATCTCTGATACTCAAATTCAATCCCTTCGTATCCCAAACTCATCAAAGCCAAATAGACGGCACCCCTTCTCCCTTCGTCCGTTCCTACTTATATATGCAACACTATGCCGATGATCACCTTGCCTGGCTCTCGGTTGATTCCTGCATCAAAGTTGCTTGATCGATGAACGACTACACATCAGCACATGCGTGATTGCCGGTTAGAAAGCACATTCTGTCTTCCCAGAGATTGCTCCTTTTCCTTTCTCTGTACCCGTCAGGTGCCATGGATAGCGTGGTATTTGTTGATATTTTATTAGAGAAGCTATCTTCTGCTGCTACTTTCATGGCTAAGTTATTAATTTCTTCTTACTCCAAAATGGGTGTGCACCATCCCCAAAGTCAAGATAGGCCTAATTGCATTGGACGCTTACTTTGATTTTTGTTTCTATCGATACATGATTTGTTTGGAAGTTTGGTTATCTACTGAGAGCGGAGTACGTATTGATTTTTGTTTCTATATTGATCTACTCTCTCGGTCTAGAAAGAAAGTCGTTATGGGATACGTGCAGGTCAAACTTTTTCAACTCCGACTAGATTTGTGAAAAAGTGTGTGCAACATTTATATCTCCAAATAAGTTAATTATAAAAATATATTTAATGATCTATCTAATAATACTAATTATATATTATAAATATTTATATTTTTTTATATATAAGGCTAGTCTTAGTGGGAGTTTCATATGAGTTTTATTTGCATTAAATAGGTTGCCACATAAGCACTTTTTTTATGACATGGCATTGTATTTAAGAAGAGAGAAGAAATGAGTTTCATCTAGATAAAACTCTTATGGCATGATTACCAATCCTCTACGAGTCATGAAATTAAATGCCTATAAAACTATAGAATAAAACTCTCCATTGAGAGTGTGTGTTTCATCTAAGTTTTATTTCATTTGGTATGACATGACAGTCTTGGAAACAACGCCATGAAACTCCACACTGAGACTAGCCTAATTGGTCAAAGTTAAAAAAAAAAATTTCTCAGGAAGTGAGAACAACTTCTATTTTGGGACAGAGGGGGTACATGGATCTACATGGTTTGTTTGGAAGTTTGGTTGTCATCTATTGAGAGCGGATTATTAACCACGTTTCTAGTTATGTGACACAATTTATCAGTTATGGTTAGAGAAAGACATCATTTGACATGGTTTGATTTGTACAGTATCTTTTAGAAAGTGTTACGTAGCGATAATGTAAATGATTGTGTAATACAAATAAATATAAATAGTCTAATTTCATTTAAAATTATCTATGATACCGCAGCAACACGCATTCTAGTTTTATTTAAATTTAGAACCTAACACTAGGAATCTAAGCAATGACGTGTCCTTCCGAACAGAAGTGGAAAAAAACCCAATAACACATAAAACTATTCACACTAATTAAAGCCGTTTGATCGAATTCAACACATACGAATTTGGAGAGAGATTTTCGCTGAGTTAAACCGATGCATGTTTCATTTCCATTGTTCATATGTGTACGTACATCCATGGCACACATAACTTAGTAATAGAATCTGGCACTGGGCAGATTTAATTTACCTCCATCAAACATCAATCAACTGCTTCATCGATCAGTGTTTCTCCCTTTCATGCGCAGCAACGAGAAGCTCAGTCAACAGCGCAGGGTGGTTGACCTCCAGATCCTTGAACCCGTCACTCTCCAAGGTTTTCCCGCGAGCCTCCCGCGATGAACTCGACGCACTTAGCCTTGAGCCGCGTGCAGCCGTGCTGCTCCGCTAGCGCCAGCGTTGTGTCAGGGACCTCCTGGGATATAGGCTGGGCCGGCTCACAGGTTGGAGAAGCCAGTGGACTGCAGCGCTGGACTTGTCTTGGCCCATCAACGAACCAGGGCAGATGCAGCACAATTACATATACACAAGCAAGGGAGACAGACGGGGTGTCGAACGACCAGACGACGAAGACGGCGAGCTGCGGCTAGAGTTCCTATCCCCTTCCTCTTCTTCCTTTGATTCATGTATCTAGAACCTTCTAGTATATTCCAGAAACCAGTTGTTCTTCGTGTGTGTGGATGTATTAGCATCTAGTTGCTGCGACAGTGCTGGCGCATCCACAGCAAAGGCGAGCCTGTGCTCACACATCACCTTGAGGCTTGAGCCTGTCCAGCCCGTACCTGTCCGCAGCAACAAGCAGATGCTGCGCCAAGGTCGTCGCCGTCGCCGCCGCTGCCGCCTCCGGCTTCCCGTCAAGCTCCGGCACCTCGTCTGTGTAGATAAAGCGAAGCATGGCCCCGAACACCGGGGCCTCCATTTTCTGGATCTCCACGCGTCCCGAGTTCTTCTCCTGCATTTCCCCGAAGAACTCTGCCATGAAGACCGGGGACCTCACGGCTAGCACGTTCTTGTGCGCGGGAAACGACTCGCCGGAGACGGTGAACGTGACGTCCGATCCGGCCTGGCTCGCTAGGAGTTCGCCGAGGTGTTGGTGCAGGCTGGAGGAGGATGGCACGGGGATTGCTTTTAGATCTCTGAATACGGTGACGGTGCATTCCACGGTCAGAGAATAACTACCACTGTCGAAGTAAGGCAAGTCGATTGCTTCGAATATGCTCACGACCACAAGGGGCTGAGATGAGTCCTAGGGATGCTGAAATGATGTGGTCTCGCTAGTCTTCTCTTCTGATGGCTCAAATCTCCCGCTTGGATCTACCATCCGGCAGCTCAGAGCCGCTGTCACTTTGTTTGCGCCAGCCTCGCCGAGGAAGACGAGCTGGAGTTCAACCTGGTACCGGGAACTACACCCAGGGTATAAACGGATTTCGCACTCGTAGCCGTCGACTTCGACGCTGGATTTGTAGTGAACCTTGCTTTGGTCGACCTTGCTGTCGGTGCATGGGAGGAGGATGTAGCTGGAGATGTTGAGCAGGTGTGTGGAGCGCGCGACATAGGAGAGGTGAGTGCTGGTGAGAGTGAGATCCATAGTGGCCTCAACCTCAAAGCGATGGAGTAGATGGGGATGGGACGTGCGGATGAAAATGGCAGTGTTGCTTCTTCAATTCGGCATGCGGATCGATTCAACAATTTGCAGCCTGTTCGTTTCGATCGTAGTTTGGTGTGAGAGAAAAATACTGTTCTAGCTTATAATCCACGATCGTATACGAGCAAACGAACATGCTGTTGGTGGCTGTCACAGGCAGTTTATATAAAGCCGAGAAGTTAAATGCCGTGACTGCTCGGGTGGAGAGCGAGGCGCATGCACGCCAATCGATCACTCCCAACTCGAAGATGAACCGGCCAGCGAGCTCAGCAAATTCACCACTGCACCAGAATACCATCGGTCACCGCTCAAGCGTCCACCGAGGCGCGCTTTTTCGACTACCTATACTTCATCCAAAAATCAAAATGCCGCCCAGTAGGATTACAGACTTATTAAATCTTAATTAAGGTACCATTGATATAACATTACAAAATAATACCAACTCTGGCTCTTCTCAACTATGGGCCCAACTTAATAGGGCTTCGCTAGTTGAATTGAAACCGATTTGGAAACGTTTGACAAAAACAACTCTAATGGCAGTTCTGTTATAATTTATGGCAAGCTTCTGAGTAGCTAGGACAAGAAATGGCTCTATCTCCTCTGAGCTCTTCTTCATCAAAGTTGTTTCTTGATGACCATTTGGTAGGGTTTCGGACGTCAAAAACACTACCAAACAAGGCGTATATGTTTGTGGTCTCGTTGACTAGTATTTTTTGCGAAAAATTAATAGACATAGCAGAAATGCTTCCTTATGAAACGTATTTTGAGACAAATCATCTCGTATCATTTTAAATACCCAAATTCAACACATAAAAGAAATAATATGTAGTACAGTTATAAGGTTTGAGTTAAAGCCCTGAAATGCTACATGTTTGTTTCGCGTCCCAAAATCTCTATTTGGATTGTGATTAGAAAACACAAAATAAAAAAAAGTGATCTTCTAATTTTCTATTTTTTCAAGATTTAATTACATTTTGTACAATTTAGACAGTGGAAAATATGATTTTCTAAAACTTTTATAATTATTTTAGTTAGTTTCCTTGCATTCATGTAGGTTGCATAATTAAATTAAGTGAAAATGATATATAGTTATAGCTTCAAAATAGTTTTGAAATAATTTTCTCAGAATTTTGTTTTTAAAATCATCCAAAATAGAGTTTAAAAAATTTAAAAATACGTAGAGAAGTTTGAAATAATTTGGTTTCAACCTAGCTTTAAAATAAGTTTAAAAATTTGTTTTGTTTTCAATGTTTTTTAAAAATGAAAGGTTTAAATAAAATATTCAAAAACTATTTTGCAAAATTTTTCAAAAAGGTAAAAACTTGTGCTGGGCAAAAAATTCTGTAAAAGTCCTAACCTAAAACCTTTTTTCCTTTTCACTACAGGCCCGCTTCCCTTTTTTTTTGCTTTATCACTCGGCATGGCCTAAGGCCGAGTCTTCGTGGGTGCTCTCTTGGTCTCCAACACAGAGCAATAGTGTTTTTCTCTCACAACAAATCAGCATTAGCATCAGCCGTTTTTTCAGCCAGCCAAATAGGGCCATAGTTTACTGGCCTGCTAGCGACCAGCAACAGCTCATAAGTCATAAATGCTCCCTCTTCGTTAGTGACTAAAATGTGGGTCCCATCTCGTCATTCCCTTCCTTTGTGTTCCCTTGCTATCCCACCGAGTTGTTTGGACTTAAGCAGGAGGTTTTTTTAAGACGGTTCTTAAGACAGTGTCAACACTCTCTTCAAGTGTACCCTCGGTTGGTCGCCTGTGGAGATGGTGTATCACTGTATTGTCATCGCATATAGGAATAAAGTGATCATGTGATATGAATTCGGTTTTGTCCTTAAAAAAGGATGTAACAATTTGTGACTAGAGGGAGTAAGTCAACCTCCCAAATTTGTCAAAATTAAGCTATTATTTTTTTTACCTTTGACTATCAACTATAAGACCCCATTTGGTACAACTTCTCCAGGCAGTTTCATAAGTTGTTTGAAGCTTATTTGTATCAAAATAGTTTTTTTTTAAACGCTTTGCATGTGAAGCTCCTTAAAATATGTTCTCACAAGGGATTGCTATGAGATAAAGCTGAAAATAGCCGCTTCTTCCAGCTTCAACTCGCTCTGGTGAGCCCTACGTGGGCATAGGTCTGATTTGTGAGAGCATAATTTGAGGAGCTTCACATGTATAGTTGTTTTGCCAAATGATACGCAAAATAGCTTTAGCTCCACAAGTAGAGTCAGCTCGTGAAATTGAAGCCAAAAAGGTTGCTTCACTGATAAAGTGGAGCTGTCATAAACAGTGTAGGATTGACAATACAATACTGCCATACTTGATCATTATAATAAATAACTAAATAATACATGTCTATTTTCATAATGCATAAGAATATGTACTCACATGCAAAAATTGAGAAGCAAACTCAAACTTGAAAACTCCTACAAAGTTAACAAAAATGGGTTGCATATGCACTAGAAGACGAAATTTTCCTTGGATTTCGTCTTCTAGTGCACATACACATGAAACTTGTTTTTTCGTATTTTTCAAAAGTGAGTTTGCGTTCAATTTTTTGCTTGTGAGTACATATTTTTATGCACTATGAATGTGCCAAGTACAAAAAAATGAGCGGTCGAAATATATTTTTTGAATTGTTTTCTATTTTCTATATTTCCACCTACTACGTAGTTTTCACGACATATTTTACCTACTTTTTACCACATGCGGTCAGGAATGGATTGTGTTGTGAGCCAGGCGGGCCACAGTGCCCATCTTTGGCAGTGGCAGAGCCAGGGTATTACATGTATTTTTCTTGTACAACATAAATATGGAATATATTGGACCACAAGTCCATAACAATAACTAAAGTATGTTGATGACCATTATAAATCCATAGTAATAACCAAAGTACATATTGTAATATAATGGCATTGTGGCAATATCCCTTCTTCATCTACATTGCAAGAGCACAATGGGAAAAAACAACATTTGTTTTGGATTTCCATCACAAAAATATCAAAGTAGCATGCAGTGGCATGGGCAAATAAATTTCTTCGAAATTGTATAAAACACAATAGTGATTCGCTCTAAATTTCATCAAGCAATATTGTGAACCGTTTTAAATTATGTGTTTTCAACGCGGCCGTTGGCGAGTGTTCAGTGGCCAAGCCTGCTGGCGAGCGATCAGTCGGATTTGCTTCTGCAGTTGGCGCAGTCACGCTGTGCCGCATGGGTTGTTTCCTTTGACATCGTGGGCTGCTAGTTGATTGTGGGCTTGTGGGCTAACTAGGCAATGAGCTGTAAGTACTGATCTACCATTATTTTTTTTAACCCTATATTCTCCGGTAGAATCTCGGAGAGAAACCGGTGCCACTTCGTCCTGAATTATTGGGTCCGTCCGATCTTTCATCTTACGGCCCAGATCGCTTGAGCTGATTCCACCAGAAAACGCTTCTCGCACTTCTCGTGCTTCTCGTTGGTTTCTCTGGCTTCTACTCTCACTATGTAAAAAAAGCACATCACATACGCGTGTTCAGGCACATCACAGACGCGTCCCTACCATAACGCGTCTATAATAAGGCTTATTATAGACGTGCAAAAAAACACGTCTGTAATAAGTAAATACTACTGACGCGTGTTACCAACACGTGACTGTGACAAAACGAACACGCGTTTGTGATAATCCCTTAACAGAGACCGGTGAGTACCTACATGCATCTACAGTAGCTCTTACTGGAGACGCGTGTTGCCAACACGCGTCCACGATAAGATTAAGACGCGTCTGTGTGAAGAACCATAGTGGGATCCTACTACAGATGACATTTGTAAACACATTTGTACTGAGAACGACAGTGCCGACGCATGTTCAATACACGCGTCTGTAGTAAGGATCCTATTACAGACGACATTTATAAACGCGTTTGTAGTAAGTAGCATACTACAGACTCATATTCTCTACATGTGTCTGTAGTATTTTTCTTACCACAGATGGGTCTAAGCTACAGACGCGTCTGCAGTAAGGAAAATTCTAGATACGTCTGTAGCCCACAGCACAGTCCACATAGCACAAATATATATAGATTATAGATATATATACACAGATCTCACAGAAATGACATATATATACAAGATTACAATTGTTCATCTCAAAACTTAATTTTTTCATCACACAGTACACACATTGTTCTTCACAAAGAGTTCACAGATTATTCATCACACACATATTCACATGTATCTCACAACTCCAATTGTATCTCCTAGCTCCAAACACATTGCCAAAGAACATCAAACACAAAAACACAGTGTGTATGGTTAAAGGCCAACGCCTGAGGCAGATGGGATACCACTGATAGTGTGTATAGGCACAAAAGCATCATCAGTGAACAGAAAAAGCATCATCAGTGCATCACATCACTTGCTAAATTGCTAACACAAAGCTAGTATGTATAGCAGCTTGGTAAAGCTCCAACAAGCCCCATTGCCATTCCATGACCCAGCACAAGCAGTCAACGAGCCCCATTGCCATTCCATGACCCAGCACAAGCACTCAATTGCATTACACACTGCCTGCTAGCATTCATTCATTCCCCAGTTGCTAATCCAATACAAGATCTCTAGCTTGATGTCAGCTACGTACACAGCTATATCCAGATTTCTAAAACATTCATTATCACTGATATATATTTGCAATTGTACCTGAGGATCATTCAAATTGGCATGTGCCATCGCCAGCCTCAAGTTGTGGGCCGCAAAGAACCCACATGTGTGGTCCAGACCTTGCTGCTGGCACTGCGAATATAGAAAACACATGGTTAATAATTAAATTGACAAAAAGACTTTATAACTGGAAGTGAAGCACTACTTACTGGAATTTTGGCTGGATGGGTCAACTTCAATTTTTTCTGCCCTTTCTTTAGCCTGGGTTGGCAATTGCTAAAATCCCAACACATACATGAGTT